GTATACAATATGCATATAATAATGCAGCGACATTAAAATACAAACAGGATGAGGAAGCGGCCATTTCTGTGGTTTAGAAAAAGGCCAGTTTTTGAAACCAACTTCATTGCTCAATCTAAGCCCCACAGTTGGGTAATACCTCCAACCAAATTTATTCATTCTTTCAGTGCCTTTTTCCTGTCTTAAAAAAAATTATACAGAATAATTTCACGAATCAAACAGTTTGAATTTTTTCAAACACCTCCTGCAACTTCTTTGCAAAAAGGTTTTTTTTAGCAAAAGCTTTTAGTTTAGGCAAAAGAGCTGCAGAGACAGGTCTGTGATGCTTGCAAAATATGGAACGCTTCACGAATTTGCGTGTCATCCTTGCGCAGGGGCCATGCTAATCTTCTCTGTATCGTTCCAATTTTAGTATATGTGCTGCCGAAGCGAGCACAAACTACACCCTTGTTGGAGAAGTATTTAAAGGTTGTTTTCTCATATTTTTTCCAGTCATAGTAAACAATGTCTTTTTTTTCCCCCTCCCTCCCAGCCAAAACATTTATTTCCATTCAGTGTATTTGCTTCCAGCCACTGAACTTACACTTTTTAAAATTCATTTTTAAAAACAACAGATTTTATTAAGTTCCCCAAAGTGCATGATGGGAGGCGCCTATGCAAACAAAGCAATCCTTTCTGCTAACTCCTCCCATACATGATACCGTACTCTTCCAGTATCATTTCTTTTGTTTAATTAATGCTGTTTTTCTTGTGTATCCCCGTTTTTTTCCTTAAAACGCTTTGGAAAAAACGCCTTATATTTCAAAAGCAAAGAGCTCGTCCCCTGGTTGCTAAATGCAACGCAATCCGCCTGCACATATAGCCCCCCCAGCATTGATCCAGCTGCTGCTGTTCCTTACACGGGAACGGGCTGGCAAGGCAGGGCTTGCTCCGCAGGCAGATTTACGCCGTCTGCACCGCGTTTCTACAGAGGACCTGCACGTTGCGCCCACTACGGTGCCCTCCTGCCCAGTAAAAGTCCGCCCCTTGCATTTCCCTCCACCAGAAGCCCCCAACCCGAGGCGGGCCCACCACCGCTCCTCCTCGCTGTCTGGCTGAACCCCCGAGCCCCTCCAGGGGCGTCAGACTACAACGCCCTCCCATCGCTCCCAAGTTCCATGGTTTGGGCTGGGAATCATGGATGGTGGAGCCCATCCTGGTCTGGGCATCATGGAACAGGCAGTCCAAAGCGCTGGACCCGGAGGGGATGGGAGAAGATCTGTACTCTCACCCTTCCAGAAGCAAACCAATGAAAATGCCATTCTGATTAACCGTCCCCTCCAAATAAATGATAATGATAATTGCACGGGTGCATCTACATTAGTGGTCCTCAATCTCAGCAACTTTAAGATGGATGGACTTCAACTTCTGGGAGTCGAAGCCCATCCATCTGAAAGTGCTGAGATTGAGAAGCGCTGATCTACAGGAAGCCAGCTGGCCAAACTGTGCTCCCCATACACGTATGCAGGGGTAACTTCAGCACCGTTGCCTGCACGCAAGGTAACTCTGTTCCCACCACACCAGTTCTTCGCGCAGGTGGCAGAGCAGCGCAACCTTCTCCGGCCTATCGAAGCTGGCGGCAACGCCATTAACCGCGGCAGGAAACGCTCGCTTGCAAGGAGCGAGTTAAATCCACCCTTGCCTCCCTCCCCTCCCTTTCCCCGGGCTGACGTCACTTCCTGCCCGGGAGGCTCCTTGGCCGGGTCGGTCCCGTCCTTCGGCCGTTCGGGGAGCAGAGAGGGCGCGAGAAGGCGGGGAGGGGGAGCAGGCCGGGCAGCGATGGTGGGGCTGAAAAGGGAAGCGGCCGGGGGGCTGAGGGGGAGCCAGGAGGAGCAGCAGCAGCTGCCTGGAGCCCCCCTGGACCAGCCCTACGGGTGAGTAGGAGAAAGGCTGGAGCGTTGTGGGGCGCTGCACCGTTGGATGTGGGTGTATTCCCTTTCTTTGCAATGCTCGTGAGTCCCACCTGGTTCAGCCTCCCTCTGGCTCTCAGGTCAAGGAGGGCGGGAGCCTTTCCCTCTTTCACTGGAACTGCAAGATAGACTGCCTTATCATCTGGAGGTTTTTGCGTTTAATAACACAGCCAGCTCTGAAGTGGAGTTGGGTAGATCTGACTGTAAAAATCCAGCTCATCCTGAAGTCCACAAGCAAGGGTGGGAAGGCAGCAGCTGTCACCCACCGCCTCGGGTTTTTTTGTGATGTTTCCTCCGAACGTGGAGGTTCCATTTTTGAGAGTTAACAGAGCTCCTCCTTATCAAGTCTGCTTTATTTAAAAGCAGTTGAACCTAATGAGTCTCACAAGTTCCTAAGGCAGTGAGTTCCACAGGTATATGATACACCTGGCTGGGTTCTTTTGTCATCCCTGCACTTGGGAGGACTACTACTGTATCTGTCATTGTGTTGATGCTTCATGCCTTTTTATATGCCAACTGTCTGAAGAAGAGAGGTTTGTTTTAAAAGGCAACCTAGGAATTTTTTTTGACACGTAATAACATATCTAAATGCAAGAAAGAAACATTTGCATTCTTTCCTGTTCCTAATCTGATGGCCATCTAACATTTCACTTTTTAAACTTCTTTCCTCCCTTCCTTTATTCCAAGATTGGGGAAATGGTCAGCCACCAGATGAAACTGGATTACAACTTCCACCTATCCATGAATCAAACTTCCTGGGAATGATGGGTGTTGTAGATTAATACAGTGCATTAACTTTGGGCATAGACAAAGGAGTCCTTATTATTTTCCTCCTTTGTCTGTTTTAAGGGGAATATTAATTACAAACATGGATTGCAAGGCATTTGCTTATTTATCTGATTTATATAGCCATCCATCTCACAATAGCAACTCAGGTGGCTTACAACATTTAAAAACAATACAGTAACATAATATAAAACATAAACAGTTGAGTCTAACCAATCTAGACAAATAATAACCACATCATGGCCCCTAACAAACACTCTGGCCCCCATCCCACAAACACATCTGTGTCTTCAGAGCCTTCCAAAAAAAAAAACAACTGGCTGGGTAGGAGTGAATCTAATCTCGGAGGACCGTGTTTAAGGGCAAGTACTGCGATAGAAAAGTTTCTTTTTGTGGGTCAGTCAAATTATTGATTGCAAAATGTAAGAATTCATTGCATATACTGTAGAAAGCAACCAGCCGGTGCAATTTGATGCCTATTGACTCAGAAATAAAACCCACAGTTTTCCCGCAGTGCTTCCTCTCCAGAGGGGTCAGATTGCCACATTAACAAAATGTTTCCCAGTAGTTTAACTGTTGAAGAAGCAGATGGCTGGCAGTGACCCAGGTGGTGGCTATTTTTCTTCTTGGTTTTTAAAAAAGTTATTATTTCTTTCCCTTGTGAAGCAAACAGGGAAAATGATGAGTCCATAATGGGAAAGGAGAAAGTTCACTGCTTTTAGATCTCACCAGCAGCCCCAGCAAAAGGTGTTTTGCCCTGGAACAGTATCTGCAAAACTCTTTTCAGAAAATATGAAATGCTGGAATCACTTACTATGAAAAGGAAAATAATTGAATACCATGAATACCTCTTTTTTTTAGCTCACTCCAATCTGCCATGAGGCTTGACTCTGGAAGATGAAAAATCATAATGGAAAATAAAGTGAAGGGAGATGGACCCTTGCAGTGTTGCTGCAGGGTTTTCTTCTTTTGTGTGTATTTCTTTGAAAGATTAATTCCTCTTCATTTTTAGCTGGATTTTTCTGTTGTTAAAAGTAGGCACAGTCTCCACAGGCTTCATACAATGCCACCTTTTGCAACCTTTGGAAGGGTTGAATTTGACTGGCTTAGTTCATGATCCTTTGCAAGAATCCAGCAACTAGCAGTTGCAAGGTAAAGATACCGGCCTGAAAATGTGTATAGACATGAGCATTATTCGTAACAGCTCAATAGATCCTCCACGTTTAAGAGTAGCCTACCTCTAAATACCATATGCTAGCAGGAGGAGAGTCCTACAGCCTGCCATGTTTTTCCTGGGTGCAGGTGAGGATTGCTTAGCCTGGCTGTAGGTTTCTGTCCTGCAGTTAGCAGTGCATTTGAAGCATTTGCAAAAAGAGAAGGCAAAGAGGATGCACAGGGCTAAGCCTCTGAGACTGGGGTGGGGGGGTTGTCTTTTGCAGAAGGATTGAGAATTGCTTGCCCCCCCTGGCCAACGCTTCTGCCAAGAGGTTTTCTCCAGCCAAACGGAAGCAATACTACATTCACCAAGCCATCCGCAACTCAGACCTCATTCCCAAGGCTAAAGGGAGGAAGAGCCTCCAGCGCCTGGAGAACAGTAAGTGGTTGGCGGGCAACTTGGAAAGCCTTTGGCAGCTGGCTCTTACCTATGGATTACCTATTGGACGGCGGCTGTTTGGAAATTGATCAAAATCCAGAGCAGCCTTTTCCAGCTCGATACATTCCAGAGGTTTGCACTATTAACTTCTATCAACCCCCGCACTGTAGTCATGCTGGCTGGGAATTCTGATCGTTTTGGCCCTGACGCTCTTAGAACTGTTAAGCGAAACCATAGCTCTTTCAGGCCAACAAAATGGGTTATGACCTTCCAGCCTAGTGGGACTGGCTGTTGCTTTTGACACACTGAATGTAAAGACTGGACAGCCATTTGTCCAGAATGGTATGAGGATTCTTCTACTGGGCAGGGGGCTGGACTAGAAGACCTCTAAGATCCCTTCCAACTCTAGGATTCTATGCTTGAATGGTCCAACAGGGCAGCTGTTAGGGATGGCCAATCTGGCTTGGTGCTGTCTTGCCCACTTGTGTTGGCATTGAGGAATTAACAACTGAGACCCAGGGTGAGGTGAAGGTGCTAGACTAGGAGTGGGAGAGCCGGGTTCTACTCCCACCTCAGCCACAGAAGCTCATTGGCTGACTTTGGGCCAGTCCCTCCCTCTCAGCCCAAGAGCCAATCAGGTGCAACGGGGAAGGTCCTGGACTAGGAGCAGGAAGAGCCGGGTTCTAGTCCCACCTCAGCCACAGAAGCTCATTGGCTGACTTTGGACCAGTCCTTCCTTCTCAGCCCAACCTACCTCACAGGGTTGTTGTTGGGAAAAATAGGAGAAGGGAGCACTATGTGAGCAGCCTTGAGTTCTGTACAAAAAGTGAGATACTGTATAAAGCTAATAAATAGTTAAACAGTGCTGGTAGTGTGACGTTGAATGTGCTGTTCTGCCCACTGACATCCCTGAAAGGTTCACTATAATTTCATTATTAATTCTGTGTATTTCTAGCGCGTTACCTAATGAACCTCCTTGAGCGGGATGATTGCACCAGTGAAGAAGGGGATCTTGCCCATCCTGCTCCACCAAGCATTTTTACCGAGGCCTGCAGCAATGAGACTTACGTGAAGGTAGGGCTCTATTTTTTTCCTTTTCTGTAGCTGATTCCCTCTTCCTCGGAAACCGCATCTTTCTCCACGCCTTGTATCGGAAACAGAAATTTGCTCAGTAAATTGATGTTTCAGTGCTAAATTAATTCAATCTCCCTTCCAAGAAATTGGTGCTTTTTTTTTTTTTTGGCAAGCCAGTTAAAATGAACATGGTTTATTTTATAACCTTTATGAATAAACTTTGCAAAGGGATCACATTAAGAAGCGTTTTCTGTTCTTAAATAACACCACTGGATGAGTCAGGTTGTGGAGGTTAAAATTCATCCTTCTGGTGAGGACTTTAGTCAGGAAACATAAGGATGTGACAGTATTATGCATGTTGAATCATGTTGAGTCATGACTATTACAGAGAATTATAGTTTATGGGTGGAGCCCAGGCTTTCACGGAGAAGGTTCCAGCCACTGTCACTGTGCTGCTAGATTTCAGCAGTAGGGGAGGAAGGGAGAGTTGGGGTGGATTGGACACAGCTTTGGTCCCCATGGAACCAAAGCCGCCCTGTTCCCCCCAACAGGGAGAAAAGGCTGTATTGGCTGTGGAGCTGGTGCTGTTTTCTCTTCCACTGAAAGCAAGGCAGCCAGGCAGAGCTCTTGGATTTTTCTGCTCTGGGTTCTCCCCTCATTTTGCCCCACCCAGCCAAAGGCTGGCCATAAAGTCTAGCAAAAGCAGAAGCTGAAACCTATCTGGAAGGCCCCCATCCAGATGAATGGGTGAAACCCATCTGAAAGTTTTAGATTTCTGTTCCTCGAAGAAGAATTGAGTGACAGGCCTCTAGGGATGATTTCTGGTAGCCTTTTAAGTTAACTTTTAAATTAAAAAAAGCTATCCAGGAGGCCAACTTGTGCGGGATGCCCTGAACTGGTGCACCCACGGTTGATGATGTAATGAATGGGGAATGAGGAATGAGCCTAGATGGAAGGGAGTGCTGTATGAGGAAAGGTGATGAATAAATACTGCAGAACATGTTGCTTAATCACGCTTTAGGAATCCTTATTGTACAATACTTGGGTTGCGTTAGGCTTTTTTAAAGTGCCATGGAAACAAAGGTCTTTGCGCAGACCTGGGCATTAGCACAGCTGCCAACAAGGCTGTGATTTGGAAGATGATGTAAAAAAAAATAACACTTCCTGCTAGGACATTGAGGAACAAGGCTGAAAAAAAAATGACTCGGTGAGAGAGGCAGAGTGGTGTGGCGGTCAGAATGTTGGACTCCCAGCAGAGAGACCCGGTTTCAGCCACTGTATTCTCTGCCAACCCAAAGTTATCCAGTGGACTTCCTCACAAGGAAGATGAGGAAAATGTCCAATCCTTTCCATTTATCTTACCTCCATTAACTTAATCAGATAAAAGCATCTCTTGATGGAACCTCCAATTAAGCGGCTGATGCATGCAGCCCAAGAAAGAATCATAGGGTTGGAATGGAACCGGAAGGTCTTCTAGTCTGGCCCAGGCCAGGAATCTTCGAACCATCCTGGCAAATGGCTGTCCAACCTTTGCTTGAAAACCTCCAGTGATGGAGCCTGCACAGCTCCAGGAGGTAGGTTATTCCACTGCCAAATAGCTCTCACGGTCAGGAGATTCCTCCATACAGTACTTTGAGTTTGGATCTCCCTTTGTAAAACCTCCACTTGTTCGTTCTTCTCCTACCTTAGGAGTTATAGAGAATAAATCCGCACCCTCTTCCCTGGGACAGCCCTGCAAATATTGGAAGACTGCTGCTGTGACTCCCCTTCACCTTCTCTTCTTTAGGCAAATCATACCTAGTTCCTTTGACCGCTCTTCATAGGATTGAGCCTCCAAGACCCTCACCATCTTTGTCACTCCGTCCAGTTCCTCAGCATCCTTCCATTAGGGAAATTAGAACTGGATCCAGTACTACAAGTACTATATTCCCTGCCTTGTGTTCCTAGAGGAAATGCAAAATATAAATGTTAATAATAATGAAGACTGGAAAAGAAATATAATGCTTCGGGGCTTGCTAATCTTCCTTTGAAAATACTCCACCAGCTGCGTATTTTTTCTAGCTTGCCCCAAACTCAGCAAAGGGAAGAGCAGTCTGGAATTGGGTGCCTTTGATAAGCTACATGATGGGAATGGCTAAACAACTCTCCCTCTCTCTTAAACATCACTTTAACTCTGGATTTGTAGATAATGCTAAACCATGATTTGTTCAGACTTGGTTTATTGACCAAACTACAACCAGCTGGGTTCATACAACACATTAAGGCATAAACCTTATTTTATAAATCTGAGAGGAATGACCCACTTTTGGGCTTAATGGGGTACAGTACGTTAGTTTGCATCCATTCATGGTGATTAGTCAGCTATGAGTTAGTAAACACATTTAGCAAGCAAAGTCTTTTAAAATCTTTTCTTGGAAAAAAAAAAAGTCCAATCCTTTCCATTTATCTTACCTCCATTAACTTAATAAGATAAAAGCATCTCTTGATGGAACCACCAATTAAGTGGTTGATGCACGCAGCCCTATGCGACCTCCATGTAGCATTTGCCTTGATCACTGCAGATAGCAAAGGAGAGGAATTGGAAATGAGTTTATATTATGTATGTATATGTCTCTCAGATCTGGAATGATTTCATGAACCGGTCCGGGGAAGAACAAGAGCGCGTCCTTCTGTATTTAGAAGAGGAGGCTTCAAAAAAAACGAAAAATAAATTGCCTGACAAAGCTGAGATCAAGTGGAAAGGTATGGAAAGACAGCGGGGGGATATTCCGGCCAAAAAGGAGCCTCTGTCTTTCTTCAGTATAGTTTAAAGCACCGGATATAAATCAGGGAGCTGACTAGGAGGAAGAGAAGGCTTTTCATCTTGCTGGCTAGAATGAAACATCCATATCCAGAAGCAGTCTACCTTTGAAAACTAATCCCACAGTTGGAACTTGTAGGCTTCCCAAATGCATTGGCTTTGCCCTTGGAGGAAAGGGAATGAGATATTCATCCAGGGTTGCTTGGTGTATTTTTTGTGACTTTTTTTCTGTCTCTTTTTCCCTATTGTTGCAGACCATCCTCCGTTCACACCGAAAGACTGTTTTCAGCGCATCAGCCGACGCTTACGAACTACCCTGAAACGAAGTCGGATTCCCATGGTATGTTCCCTAGGCAGCAACAGAAGCGGCTTATATTTAGGGCTCGATTCGGAGCCTGGTTTGCTTACAAAGGAGTAAGTAAATGACTGTCCTGCTTGGCAAGTAAACTTCTGATTCTAGCCTGTAAATGCATCGCAATTCCTACGTGGTCTTTCTTATCTCTTCCCCGGCAAGTTTATCACTATCCAAGAATGTCCTGCAGGTCTGGGAAGACCTTACGAACCGATGGCAGACAATTCTGAGCTGCAACATCTCGTCGCCTTTATTTTTTGTTTTTATTGTTCAAATTGCTATTTTTTTTTTCCTGAATTTTTGCCACAGACTTGTGAGGTAGACCATGACATACACTCAGGTTACAGAGGGGGAAACTGAGACTGAAAGCAACCTCACTTTATGGGGCCTCTTGTGAGTTGGTAGTGTAAGGGAGATCTGAACTGGAGGCTTTCTGATCAATAGCTCCGTTTCTGAACCACTCTGTTGCAGCAGTAAATATATGAGGAGACTAAATATGTCATTGTTCTCTATTGTAGATGCACAGATGTAGATCAGTGTTTTTCAACCTTGGCGACTTTAAGATGCGTGGACTTCAACTCCCAGAATTCCCCAGCCAGCATGG